AACAAAAAAAAAAATTAATATACACATATGTATATATATATATATATATATATATATATAAAAGATTGAATTAAAAAAGGAGACGTGGGGGAGATGAGGAGGTTTATAAGTTACACTATCTGATAATGAAGAGAAGAAAAGGTGCAAGGTGGTGGCCATGAAGATGAGGGAGGAGGGACGAGGGAGGTGGGAGGAGGGACGAGGGATGAGGGACGAGGGAGCACCCACTAGGATTAAGGAAGGAAAGGAGGGGTTATAGCTGTGAATTTGGGAGAAAGATTGCTAATCGTTTGAAAATTTATTTGAATTTTTCAAGGAATTGAGATCAAATAGAAATAAACGAGTCAATTTATGTGCTAAAATTTTGGATCGAATTCTTTTTGAACCGACACGGATCTACTTGAACTAGCTCGAGATTAAACTTGAATTATTTTTTTGTTTATAAAAACTATATATAATGTCAATTAAAATCAAATATAATGAGCTACAAGCTGATTTGAGCTGAAACCGATCCAAATTAACTCAATTTGAGTCACCTTATTTTGATTTTGTGCCGAATCGAGCTGATTTCGAGCTGGAATGGATCCAATAACTCAAGTTTGAGCCAGCTCATTTCGATTTCAAGCCGGATCGAGCTGAGCTGGCTCAAAATCAAACTTAACGAGTCACGAGCCGATTTTGATATAAACCTAATCAATTCTAGCTGATTTCGAAATCAGCTAATTAACAAACCTAGACCTAGGAAGATACATGAAACTTTACTGGAGTCAGAGTTGAGATGATCTGTTTGCTGCTCGACAGTGGGAAAAAGAAGAGATAAATTCTGTTCTTAAAGTAAATATCTGATAATTTATTGAATATTTAGTGAATTAATTCATATATTTTCTCATGTTGCTGTCTTCCCCCACTCCCACTTGATAACATGTGAATTTTACTTTTTCTTTTTTTTTTGAGGTGGTTTTAATCTTTTTATATTTATTTTATAGTTTATCAAATTTACTCTCGAGGATTGTCCTTTTGGGTCAATTTCAATTCCGCGTGTCTCCTTTTAAAAATGATAAATTTGTCAGATATGGACCCGAACTCATATTTGAGCAGGTTCATCTTGAGTTGATGTTTCCAGAGTAGATCAAAGATCTTTTGAAGGTTTTCAACTTGTTTTGAGGACGATTCTTGAAAGAGGTCTTCGAATATAACAGTCATGACCCCCTTTTAATAAGTTGCGTAACCCCAAACATTCTTGAATCTAAAGGGCTAAAGATGTAGCAATAGAATCCTTTTTTATCAATTCAAACAAATCCTAAAGCTCAATGATAGGGAATAACTTTACGTTTATTCTATTATCTGACATTATTTTCAAAAGAAACGAGCAGAGGTATGCAGGAATTGATCAGAGTATAAGAGTACGTGTCCAACGAATTAAAATATATTATCTACAAAATATTTTGATAGAATGACAGAACAAAAGTCAAGAAAAATTCCAACACATATATTGCATCGTAACTTTTTTTTTTTCTTTTGAAGTCTTATATATTTACTAGTTTTGAATATTCTTTACGTAAAACATTTCTCGAGACAAACTTAACTTGATTGCATTGTTTCCGCATATACTACAAGTTTGAGAAATATGTTCAAAGTTGATAATCTGGATGGGATTTACATTGATATAGGCGACGACTCTTCGTTCGGTTGTTTTTCTCGTTCAGCCAGTGAAGCTTAGCTAGCTTGGCTCGACTGAGTTAGTTCAGTTGGCTGAGTTTCAACGACCATCATCAGTCTCTGATAAGAAGTATTTTGGCCTCGACTATGAGGTTGAAGATGCTTTGTGCAAACGTTTCTTCAATGGGGTTGGCTCTGTTGCGGGATAGATTATTGAATCGAATCGATTTTCATGCAGTTGACATTCTGGACACTTTTCTAACTTGTTTTCGAACTAATGGCTTTTAGTTGGATCACTTGGTCATTTTTTTGTTGGACTTGGCCTGCTTTTGACCTAGTTGACTAAGCTCATATGGCTTGACTCATCCGACTTGACTTGTCCTGTGCCTCATGATCTCTTTGCAGGGGATCTGCCTCCCTTGCATTCCTCTTTTATATTCTATTAGATCTATGTAAGATCAGTACAAACACTTTTTTTTATGTACATATTTTAGTTTCACGATTCTCTTTTTTCTTGAAAACAAGGTTGAGATAAGAATAAGAGAGTTAATTATGAAAGGTATGTCTCATTTAATTTTAATTAATGATGTAATAATTGAACTCCATTTATTTCAGAGCTTATGATTCATATAAACAGGGAGATGTAATGCCTTCTCATGCCTACTTTGCTTTGCATTTTCCCTACTATGCATGAATATGTCTAATTAAGGAGTCGTGCAGTATCAAACACATATCGGACATGGACACAGTTCTAACATGTGTCAGACACATCATAGAAGTGTCCAAATAAAAAAAGAGAACACGCAAAGGACAACCATAGGATGCTCAGGATACACATGTTCTAAATTAATGAATTAAAAATTTTAAAAAATTATTTTTATGACTATAATTAAAATATATATTATGTAAATTTTAAAAAAGATTAAATACCCATCAGTTTTAGGAAAATTACATAAA